TCTGTTTGGTAACAATAGTTCTCCAATTTGTAAGGTTTTATTTAATTTTGTCCAGCAGTTTTTTTTCCTGTTTTCAACATGTAAGTCTTTCAGCTTCTTGGTTATATTTATAATTTATTACTAAATATTTTATTTTTGTAGGTACTATTGTAAATGGAGTTTCCTAATTTCCATTTTGGAATCATTGCTGTTCTATAGGTTCACAAATGATTTTGAGGTATTGATTTTTTCCTGCAATGTTGCTGAATTCATTTATTATAGCCTTATTAGTTTTATTGAATTCTTGGGGATTTTCTATACATAGGATAATGTCATCTGTGAAAATAACAACTTCCTTTTCATTTTGCAGCAACTATGAAGGCAGGTCTCCTTGTCTTCTTTGGGTGGGGGGCACTGTCAGTCTTTCACCATTGTGTATGATGTTCACCATGGGTTTTTCACAAATACCTTTATCATGCTGAGGAATTTTCCCTCTGTTAGTTTTCTGAGCATTTATGTTATCAGTGGGTTATTGGATTTTGTCAAATGCCTTTTCTTTATAAATTGAAATAATCATGTGGAGTTTTTCCTTCATTTTATTGAAATTGCTTACGTTGATTCATTTTCTGACATTGAACCACTGCCATATTGCTGGAGGAAATTCAATTTGGTCATGGTGATTAAAAATTTTAATATGTTTTTGGATTAAATTTGCTAATGTTTTATTGAGGATTTTTCCAACTACATTCATAAAGAATTTTGGTCTGTAATTATCTTGTCCAATGATGTCTTTATCTGGTTTTGGTATTAGAACGATGCTGGCCTCACAGGATAAATTAAGAAGGGTTTTCTCCGCTTCAATTTTTTTTGGAAGTTTGGGAAGGATTAGTGCTAATTATTTATTAAACGTTTGGTAGAATTCACTGGTGCAGCCATCTATCTGGTCCAGGACATTTTTGTTGGGTCTGGAGATTACTCTTTACTTTTTATAGCTGTGTTAAAATATTTTATTTCTTTTTGAGTCAGTTTAGACAATTTCTCTGTTTCATGGAACTTGTTCATTTCTGCATTGTTACCTATTTTTTCATATCTTTCAATCCCTTTATAAGATCACTAGTAATATCTCCATTTTTTATTTCTGATTTTAGTAATTTATGCCTTCCTTTTTCTTTTTGTCAGTCTAGGTAAAGTTTAGTCAATTTTTTTCTTACCTTTTCAAAAATCTGGCTTTTGATTTTATTTTCTCTGTTTTTCTATTTTTTTCTTTGGTTTATCTCCACTGTGTTTTTTATTTCCTTCCTTTTATAGCTTTTAGTTCAGTGTGTCCTTTCATAGTTCCTGAAGATGTAAAGTTATATTATTGATTTCAGATCATTTTATGTAGGCAATTATTGCTATAAGTTTCACTCCTAGTAGTTCTTTTGCTACATACCATAAATTTTGATATGTTCTGTTTTCCTTTGCATTAGTCTTTAAGTATTTCCTGATTTAATTTGTGATTTCTTTTTTGACTCATTGGTGGTTGTTAGAGCATTCAGTTTGCTCTAACAAAATACCAGAGATTGGGTACTTTATAAGCAACAGGAATTTTTTTTTGCAGTTCTTAAAGCTGGAAGTCTGACATCAGGGTGTCAGCATTGTTGGACTCTCCCAGATTACAAATTTCTTATTTTATCCTTATATGGCATAAGGGTACTAGAGTTCTGTGGTATCTTTTACATATATATATATATAAGCTTTATATATATATATATAAAGCATATAGCAAGAACTCATGGACAAAACCAAAGGGGAAGAGCTGAGGGGGGGAAGGAGGGAGGGGGCAAGGGAAAGTGGTAGGGGGTTGGCAGAGACAAATGTATTTGAAAAAATAAATTAAAATAAAATTAAAAAAAAAAAAGAAAGCTAATCCCATTCAGGAGGACTCTACCCTCATTGCCTAAGCACCTCCCAAAAGCCCCACCTCCTTATACTCTCACAATGAGCAGTAGGATTTCAATATAAGAAATTGGGGAGTACACAAATATTCAGACCATAGCAGTTGTTTTAAGAGTGCAGTTTAGCCCTGGCTGGTGTGGCTCAATGGATAAAGTGCCAGCCTACGAACCAAAGGGTCTCTGGTCCAGTTCCTGTTTGGGGCACATGCCTGGGTTGTATGCCAGGTCCCCAGGTTGGGGCATTCAGGGGGCAACCACACATTGATGTTTCTCTCCCTCTCTTTCTCCCTCCCTTCCCTACTCTCTAGAAATAAATAAAATCTTTTTTAAAGAGTGCAATTTAATTTCCACATATTTATGAATTTTCCAGTTTTCCTTCTCTTATCAGTGTCTAACTTCATCTTGTTGTCAAGGAAGTAACTTAGTATGACATCTATCTTTTTAAATCTATTCATACTTGTTTTCTGTCCTGGAGAATGCCACATGTGTACTTGAGAAGAATGTGTATTCTGCAGTTCTAAGGTAGTGTTATTTTGTCTGTTAGGTGTTGTTGGTTTATTGAGTTAAGTCCTCCATTTCTTTTTCTATTGTGTGGTTGAGCTATCCATTATTGAAGGTGGTGTATTGAAGTCACCCACTGCTAATGTAGAACTGTCTATTCCTCTCTTCAGTTCTGTCAACTTTTGCTTCATATATTTTGATGGCTATGTTATTAGATATATAAATAAATGTTTATTACATACCTTCTTGCTGTGTTGAACATTCTGTTTCACTTGTAATCTTTTTGGACTTAAAGCCTGTTTTTGTGTAATGTTAGTATAGACACCACAGCTCTCTTTTGGTTACTATTTGCATGAAAATCTTTTCCACTCTTTCACTTTCCAAAACCTATTTGTTTTTAGTTCTAATGTGAGTCTCTTGTATAGTTGGATCATGGTATTTTCGGTCTGTTTTTATTTTTATTATTTTTTAAATTTATTTTAAAAAAATTTTTCAAATACATTTGTCTCCATTTACCCATCACCACTTTCCCCTGCCCCACTTACCCCCATCTCCCCCTCTACCAATCCTTCCCCACTTTGGCTTCATCCATGTATCCTTCACACCTGTTCCTTGATCTGACCCTTTCCCTTCCCCTTCCTACTATCCCCCACCCTCCCTCCCTCCTTTTCTTGTTGGTATCTTCTTTCTTTCAGTATTGCTGGTCATATTTTCCTTGCCTGATTTCTTTGCTGATTAGGTTCCACTTATAGGTGATATCATATGGTATTTGTCTTTCACCATCTGGCTTATTTCACTTAGCATAAGGCTCTCCATTTCCAATCATGCTATTGCGAAGGGTAGTAGCTCTTTCTTTGTGTTGAATAGTATTCCATTGTGTAAATGTACCATAGTTTTTTGATCCACTTATTTACTGACGGGCACTTAGGTTGCTTCCAGCACTTGGCTATTGTAAATTGTGCTGCTATGAACACTGGGGTGCGTAGGTTCTTCTGAATTGATGTTTTGGGATCCTTAGGGTGTAATCCTAGCAGTGGAATTGCTGGGTCAAAAGGCATTTCCATTTTTACCTTTTTGAGGAAATTCCAAACTGTTTTCTACAGTGGCTGCACCAGTCTGCATTCCCACCAACAGTGTACTAGGGTTCCTTTTTCTCTACAACCTCGCCAGCATGGTCTGTTTTTAAAAAATCCACTCTGGCCCTGACAGGTATGGCTCAGTGGGTTGAGCATTGTCCTACAAAGGTCACTAGTTCAATTCCCAGTCAGGACACATGCTGGGTTGTGGACCAAATTCCTGGTTGGGGGCATGCAAGGGGCAACCAATTGATGTTTCTCTCCTTCTCCTCTCTCTCTTCTCCTCTAAAAATAATAAAATCTCTAAAAAATAAAATAAAATCCATTTTGCCAACATCTGTTCTTTTGATTCATGAGTTTAATTCATTTATATATAAAATAATAACCAAAAAGGAGGAACTTATGTCTGCCACTGTTTTCTATATACTCCCTTTTTTTATTCTTTGTTCTTTCCATCATTGCCTGAGGAAGCCTGGGGTAACACCTACAGTGAACTCTGAAAGGTGAACAGTACTCTCTCTGGCAAGTAAGTGTAATAAGGGGAATATGGGAAATATTTTAGGCTGAAGAAACTGCATGGCTAAAGAGAAAAATATTTTGTTCAAGGAGGCATGGAAATACCTGCCATAGAGAACATAACCTGAGATATAAGCTGTCCTTTACCTCCAACACTGTCCACACAATCTTAACAATTGATCTGTTTTCTTTCTAGTCACAAGATAGGAAACTATGGGGACCAGTAAGACTACCCCTCTTTTTATATAAAACTTAGAATATTTTAAGCCATCCTCCTTATAAACTATAATTCTCTCTCAAGGTCCATTTTAGGAAAAAACACTCTTATTTCAAGACAGATGTTGCAGAAAGTCAATGCTTTTAAAGTTAGTGGGTGGGCTGGAGAAGTAATGGAGAAAGCTCTGTACTATTAATTTCAAGGTAAACCCCTATAACTGATTTAGGAAAGGAGAAATGACTGCTGCTATTACTAGTGATGCTACCTACAGTACTAACCAAAAACCAAAAAACTTGAAGCTAGACACTGGGTCATGAGTGTCCAGCTGCAGCAAACATAACAGAACTTGCTTGTCTGCTTTTTGTCTGCAGTGACCCCCAGTATGTGTGTGCTTGCAGACAGCTACATAGTCATCATTTTTTAGGATTCAAATTAAAAAAGCAGGTCCACAGTGAAGTCTATTTTGATCTCTCATAGTATGTTGTTTCTTGGTTATGTTCCCACAGTACTTGTAGAAAATCAAAATGAATAGTGTATGGATTAATCCAGCTGGAAATAGACTATGAATTGTCCTTACCAAAATAATGGCATTCTTAGCACAGGCAGTTTTTCTTTAGGTTTGCTAGTCTCCCACTAAAGGTTGTAGTAAGTCTGATCTTAATTCTTTAAAAGGAAAGTAGTAGAAAGTTTTGCAAGAAATATCAGTGTCACAGTGAACTTATTATATACAAGTGATTTTATTGGAGATCAAAAATTTTATTGACACCACTTATTTCTTTTGCAGCTTTAATTTGCAACTTTGTAACATTTACTCAATTCATTTGGTGACTAAATATCTAAAGAATTTTTATGTAGGACTTGAGTAAAATTGCAAGCTACTGCTATAAGAAATGCATATTTATTTATAATATGCTTGTTTGCTTGCTCTCCTGTAAAATTGTTTACAAATAGCTTCACTGCGAAGATTTACACATAATTCCTACATCCTTCAGTTGTTCTAGCATCAGAACATCAGGTTGTTCTAGACATTCCATGTCTAGGCAAGTAAGAACTTAGTGAACACTTTGCTAGATTTCTTATATAAGCTTTGTTTGTACATTTTCATAAGAAATTCATATTGCCTAATGTCTTTCCCATATTTGTTTTATGTATTTATAGATGTCTTTCCCATATTTGTTACTGTTGGATTCATAAATATTCCCATACAGTAAATACAATGTGGATTCACTTGTGTCAATTAAGGGATTAATAATGGCCAAAGGCATTCTCACATTTATTGCCTTCATTTGGTCTCTCTACAGTGTGAGCTCTGGACAATAAGGCTTGTACCATTGCTAAAGACCTTCCCATAGTCATTACATTCATAAGATTTTTCTCCAATATAAATTTTATCATGCTGAATAAGGGAGGATCAATGGCTGAATTGTATTACAACAAATACTGCATTCATACACTTTCTCTTTTACATGATTTTTCACACATAGTGATTCATATAACCTAAAGGTTTTTCCACACTTATGGCACTATTGAATTTCTCTCCATTATGTATTCTCTGATGGGCAGTAAGATTTGAGCCTTTGCTAAAAGCTTTTCCACATTCATTACATTTATATGGCTTTTCTCCAGTATGAATTCTCTGATGTACAGTAAGGTTTGAACTACAACTGAAGGTCTTCCCACATTTAATACATTCATAGGGTTTCTCTCCAGTATGAATTCTGTGATGTTGAAGCAGAGATGACCTATGACTGAATGCTTTCCCACATATACTGCATTCATAAGGTTTCAATCTAGTGTGATTTCTCATATGCATATTCAGTGATTCGGGCTGGTTGAAGGATTTCCTGCATTTTTGACATTCAAAGGGTTTTTCTTCAGTATGAATGCTCTGATGCTGAATAAGAAATGAGAGACTACTAAAGACTTTCAGACATTTGTTGCATTCAAACTGTTTCTCTATAGTGTGAATTCTTTGATGTCGAGTAAGGTGTGAACTACAGCAAAAAGCTTTTCCACATTCACTACATTCATAAGGTTTCTCTCCAGTATGAATTTTCTGATGGTGAATAAGAGATGACCTATGAATGAAGGCTTTCTCACATATTCGACACTCGTAGAGTTTTTCTTGAGTATGAATTCTCAGATGCTCAATGAGATGTGAAACACGACTAAAAGACTTTCCACAGTTCATACATTCATATGGTTTCTCTCCAGTGTGAGTGCTTTGATGGTTAGTAAGTGATGAGACATGGCTAAAGGCCTTCCCACATTCAATACATTTGTAAGGTTTCTCACCACTGTGGCTTATCTGATGTCGAGTAAGGGATGAGCCGTGGCTAAAAGTCTTCCCACATTCACGACACTCATAAGGTTTCTCTCCTGTATGAATTCTCCAGTGGCGATTAAGGATTGATTGTTTGCCAAAGGCTTTCCCACATTCACTGCATGTATAGACTTTCTCTCTATTATAAGTCTGGTGAAGGGTAAGAGATTTGCTCTGATTGAAGGTTGCCACACTTAAATTAGTATTCAAAAGTTTCTTTCCACCACTGATATTCTCAGTTTTTATAAGGGACTTTTTTGGTAAACTCTTCTTAAATATGTCATGTACATGTGATTTCCCTTCAGCAGAAATTCTCTGTAATTCAGAAAAGACAGACTTTAAATTTAAATGGAAACGACTTCCACATGTATTATATTTGTAAATACTGGGTTGGCCAAAAAGTTCATTTAAGTTTTCCGTAAAATAAAACACGCATTTTATATTTTTACCAATAACTTTCTTGATTTGGATATTTTGAATATATCAGCTATCTCTCGCATGGTATAACATTGACTGTTCTCAATTAAGGTCCCGATTTGATTGCTATCAACTTCAACTGATCTACCCAACTGTGGAGCATCCATCCAGTGAGAAATCTCCAGCATGAAACTTTGCAGACCTCTTTTGACACATTCGATGAGTCACAGCATCTTCTCCATAAACTGCACAAATCTTTTATTTGCATTCAATTGTGTTTTTACTTTTCTTGAAATAATAAAGCATAATATGCCAAAAATGTTGCATATTTTCTTCCATCTTCAATAAAATGGTACACAAAAATTCACCAATTTTGATTTTTTTTAAATGAACATTTATATGACAGCTGTCACAATACAATCTAACAAAATTGTTTCAAATGAAGTTAAAGACAACTAATACTCCTAGAGCCATCTTACGGAAAAAAACCAAATCAACTTTTTGGCTAACCCAATACTTTGCCCCGTGGGACTCTCTCTAAAGGTGAGGGTATCTCGTCTGGAATGTTCTACCTGACTTTCATGCTTCCCCTCCGGCTTCTCTATATACTCCCAGCCTTTGTTAAAATTTGAAAATTTATTACTTCATTTTATAATTTTTTCTATTATTACCGTTTGGGGTGAATCACCATCATAAATATTCTCCTTCGTTGATAATTCTTTGTTTTCCCATCTTAATTTCCAATCTGAAATATATCAAGAAAGCAAAATGCTATTTTTTCTGTACTTCTGGGAAATTTCTATGGTAGAAATAGAATTGGATGAAAAATAAACTCCCATCTCTCCCCTAGCTTGAAAACACATGGTTCTGACCACTCATATATTCAATCATTTCCAAAAAAAAGTTAAAGCAGAGCACAGAAAATACAGACAGCTCACAGAGTTAGGAACATAGTCTAATAAGGGACATAGGTTTAATAAGAGCAGGCAGTATGTGGAAATGAAACTATCGCAAGGAAAATGCGGAATGCATTCTGGAATCCAAGTCAACATTTTGTGCTGATATTTATATGAAAGAACACATTCTGTCTCACAACCTTGGTTTTACAACCTTCAGTCAATCTCACTTTGCTGTCAGGTTAGTATGCTTAAAATGGTGAATTTATAGTGCATTAAACAGTTATAGTTACAACAAAATAATGTACGTATACTTAATAGCTCACAAAAATTTAAGCTTTTGTGAATTTATGTAGGATCTGTACAAAATCATAATTTTATTAGCTATTAGAAAATATTGTTCTTAGAAACTTTCGTATACATTCTTTACTTTCTCTAACATTTATGTTTGTATTTGATCTTTGAAGTTCAGCCTTAGTGGAAAAGTGATTTTCCATCTAATTGACAGCTTTTCTTAACCTAAATCCATCAGTATGTTTTTCTGTAAGTAGACTTAAAAAGAGTAATTTGACTTATTTTGTTTCAAATAAAATAATTAGTATGATGGCAAGAACTTTTGATTAGATGACATGAGTAATACAGAAAGATAATTTGTGACGGAGGAATGGTCATTTTGAAATCTAAGTTTAAGGATTCCTCAATTTTTTTTACATTGGGAATCTCTGAAGACAGTCTCCCTAAAATGTCCTAAAATCCACCCCACCGTCTACAAGCATCTTTAACAAAGACCTCTTTTGCCTGATTTACCATGACTCACCTGAAAACATATCTTTTGTCAGGTTTTTATCCACCATCCAAGGCTCTTTCCCATCCTCTAATAAAGTGATCACATATGGCTTAGGTATGAAAAGGCCTGCTTACAGGAAAAATATAGAACTTGTTTGAGATGTGGTCCTCAGGGAAGAGATGCCATTATCAAAAAAAGACCAAAGGAAGGCTAGAAGAATGTTCGCTGAAACGGGAAGGTAAGCTTCAGGCAGGTCACAACAGAGCTAAACATTTCCTTGGGAACATGAAAAAGAAATTTAGCCATTCACTCAGGAGATTTCCCTCAATTCAGAGTCGTGAGGGGTGGGGGATGTTCTCTCCTATTGAGGTAGAGGCAGAGGTAAGCAAATTATAATGTGCTTACCTAGAGAGACCAGGTTTTCATAATTCTGGACCATCACATCCTTGTATAAATCCCTCTGAGCAGAATCTAGCCATTCCCACTCTTCATGGGAGAAGTCTATGGCCACATCACTAAATGTTACCTGAAATAGTAAACATATTTAGGCTTAACCATAGCCCAGGCCTCTCCTGTCACTGGAAAAGTGGTGAAGTTCTCCTGGTTGTAGAAGGAAGGGAACAAGATTCAGCAATTGTGACAATAATCAGAAATCTGACTTAAGTAAAGTAGTAATAAGATAATTAAGTTCTTGGCATTGTTGTACATTAAGGGTGAGAGACAAATATAAGAGCTTTGCTTCAGGACAGTAAATTTTGTCAAAGGGAATGGAATTATAAAAATTTTTAAGAATCAGCATTCAACATTTGACAGCACATAGTCAAGGGCTTCGATGTGTTTATTATAGCTTATATACTAATAAAAATGATGATCTACTACAGTTCAAAAAAAAAAAAAAAATCAAGCCCTGGCTAGTGTGTCTCAGTGGATTGAGTGCTGACCTCCAAACTAAGGGATCACTGGTTCGATTCCCAGTCAGGACACATGCCTGGGTTGCGGGCCAGGTCCCTTGTAGGGTGTGTGTGAGTGGTGACCACATATTGATGTTTCCCTTCCTCTTCCTCCCTCCTTTCCTCTCTCTCTAAAAATAAATAAATAAGATATTTTAAAAATAATAGTATAATCCAATGAGTTACAAAAGATATTTTTTAAATATTAAAGGTAGACAAATACATAACTAATTTATAAAAAAACAAAATACTTTATGGTATACACTTAAACCTTGTATTGAAAATCAATCTGTAATTAAAATAATTTACAATAATTTATGACTTGCTAGGCAAGAAAAATGAAGGATGGTTTCATACCATTAGTAGTACTTGGACAGGACCTTAAAGTAAAGATAAAGAATGAAAGGAAAATATTCTAAGGAAACAGATTTCTTCCTAGAAACAGTACTCATTTATGGTGTTATTTAAAACAGCAAAATTTTAGAAAAAGTTAAAATGTTCAATAATAGCTTACTGGTTAGTGAAATTGTAATATGTGCAAAAATGTATGCATTTTAAATGGCATTATTAATGCCTGTCATTGGTGAAATAGACATTGTTGGGCTATGGTGAATTTTTCACTCCACAAGTGGTTCAATATTCTATTACTTTATTGGGATATTTGGCATTTATGTTCACTATTCACACTGGTCTTTGATTTCAAAGTGGGAATTTACCTTTGTCAGATGTTGGGGAATTAATTAAAAACCATATCTGCCAAGCAGAAAATTATCTTTACAATGTAGAAACAAAAGACACAGGCTTTATTATTGACTAAGCATTAAACCAAACTGTAATGCACTTCATGGGAAATCACTAATGAGACTTTAAGGACAGAAAGAAATCTCACCCTTTTAAAAAACCAGATAGATACAATCATTACATAGATGCTTTCAAAATAAATAACTTGTCCTCCAGTGAGAGGACTTTACAGTATCTTTTGTGACACATAGTTCATCCTAAATTCACCTCATAATTGGGGTAGCAATCTGTGTTAATTGCCTTTACCCCAAAGAAAAAGAAAAGTTCTCATATCTTTATGACATGCATAAAGTTAAACCTTGGAGCCAGGAGCCCAGGCTAAACTCTCAGAGACAGGGAGTCAAGATGCATCATTTCAAAGAGATGGCTCCAAGGCCCTAAGAAAGACTTTACTGCCTGGCCGAGGCTTACTTCACTTTGAAAAAGATTTACAAGCATCCCAAGGAGACAAAGAAAGGATTTACAATTACAGGTTTTTCTCAAGGTAATATTCTAAGAAAAGGAAGAGGGAGAAGGCCTTTTTTTTCCTTTTGGCACCAGGGAAAGTTCTTTTTTCCATTTGTATTTACTCTTACCAACACTATGTTACCTGTGTTAAATGCATAAAACACTGTTTTATTCCACCAAAGCAAACTTGTTTCATATTTTAAGTTATGAATACATTGATAAATGTCACTGTATTGAAAGTCTAAAGAAGAAAGCTCACATAAATCTCAGTTTAATACTCTTCGCTTTTTATTTAGATTAGGATTTCTCAATCTTGGGACTACTGATATTTTAAGCTGGATAATTCTTAGTTGTGGAGAGCTGCCCTTTGAATTTTAGGATATTTAGTAGCATCCATAGCCTCTACCCATTAGATTCTAGTTGCAACTCCCCTCTTCATCAGAGTCGTGACAACCAAAAATATCTCTAAATATTAGCAAATGTCCTCTGTGGGTGGGGTCAAGGGGGCTAAAGTCTCCCCTGTGAACTATGGCTATGGAAAATTTTTTCAGTTCTTTAGGCCTCTCCACCTGTGCTCAAGATGTCCTCTCAATTTAGTATAAATTCATTTCCACCTCTGCCTCCCTGGTACTATGGGCCACCAAAACCAGTTCCAGCCTTGCTTCCCCCAGGGATGCCTCCTCTTTCTTCCCCTTCAATTGCATGGGCAGCCTGGGATGTTCAACTTCTTTGTCCCCAGAATAACTCAGAATATTTGTCCTAGTACCTATCTTAATTTCTTATGCTTTCTTATTTTTCTACCAGTCCTACACTATTCAATACAATAGCCACTAGCCACATCTGGCTATATAAATTTAAATTTAAATAAAATAAAAAATTCAGTTCTCCAGTCACTGTAGTCTAAGCTCAAATACTCAATAGTCATATGGGAGTGGTGGCTACCATACTGGACAGCACACATATAAACTATTTCCACCACTGTAGAAAATTCTCTTAGACAGTACTGCACTAGATCACGCAGCCCTGCATGTCAGTATACACCCAAACCTATGGAAGAGTCTCCCTTATGTACTTCGTAAGTGTTTAGGAAATGAACCATTGAGTGAGTTTGGCAGTCAGTTCACTTTAGCTTTTACTTTTAAAAGAACAGTTTTTTTCCCCCTCAATTCTAATTATCTAATTCTCCCAAGAAACTAGATTCTGCCCAATTTGCACATCTGCCATTCACACCTTCTCCTGTGCAGGTTCATCTTCCACCCCATGGTTCTGCCCACCACTGTTTCATCACTCACTCAACAACTATTTAGTAAGCATCTCTTTTGTGCCAGGTACCACTCTGAGCACTGAAGATAAAATAATCAACAAATAGAAAAAAACAAAACAAAACTTCCCAATGGGAGGAGACAAACCATGGGTGTATGCATATACTAAACGTATAGTGACAGCTAATGAGTGATAAGCATTATGGAAAACAAGAGAACAGTGATGGAAGAGTGGAAGTGGTTGTTGAAAGAAGGTGGCTGACGATTTTAAACAGTGTTTAGGCAAGCTTTGCTGAGAAAGTAACCACTGAGCAAAGATACAAGGAAGATAAGAATGCCAGACTGTGCATGTATGAGGAAAGAATATTCCAAACAGGACAGCGACTTCCAAGGCCTGCAGGCCATAGCCAGTGTGGCTGGAGCCCACAGGGAGCAAGGAGACAAAGAAGAAAGATAAGATCAGAAAGGTAATAAACATTCTAATTGTACAACGCTTTTTAAGTCACTACAGAACTGACTTCCATTCTGAGTTAGGGCCAGTGAACAGTTTTAAACAGAGGAATAACAGCACTTTATATAATAAGAGGATCGCTGTGACAGCTGTACTAAGAAGAGACTGAAGAGCGTCGAGGGCAGAAACGGGATCCCCCTAGGAGGCTACTGCAGTAATCTAGGTTGGCTTGGACCAGGGAGGCAGTGATGGAGTTACTAATGCTCAGATTCTACATCTATCCTGTATATATTTTAGAACTAACTAAAGTGCCTGACCGTGAGTTATAACAGAAAGGGAGGAACAAGATGACTCCAAACACTTCTCAACTTGAATAACTGAAAGAAATGATATACCATTAATTGAGACCACACGATACAACATTAACAACCATAAAATAAATAACCTCAAATTCCAAACTTGAATCTTGAACTGTAATTTTAAAAGGTTTTTGTTCAAGACTACAGAGACTTCTAGCAGAAAACTGGGAGAAAAGAGGAGAAACTCAGAGAATATAGTACCTGGGAGTTCTTCATCAGGCTCCATCCATCCTTTGCTACAATGAAAGGAATCATAGATCCAGTTCCAAAATGGACTTTGTTAGGAGGAAACTGGTAGAAGGAAAGCGAACACTCAAGAGTCCTGATAAAAAGGTGTTTCAGGTAGATTTGGAGACATACTGACTTACCTGGAACATGACTTTGCTATTTCCAATAGTCAACACAGTCCTCTATCCAGGCTCTTGTCTAATAGGAGGGGACTTTCCTGAGAAGGCAGATTAAGAACATGAAGATACAGTCTTGAAAAATCAGGCTTATCTTGCAGTTCTGTGATACACCTGCATGGAAAGAGGACAATGGGAATCATTTTCCAGGGCTCCAGCTTTCCCTGAACAGAGTGTTCCTTGGCACGAGGTAACTAGCCATTTACCAGGTGCCACCTGCATGTAAATCAACTTTTATATATATGAGACAAATTCATAAAACAACAGTAGTAATGTTAAATGTGAGCCTAATTAATCTTCACTACTCCTGTGCATGGTGGACATTCATATTATTCCAGATTTCTTTTTTAAAAGATGAGAAAACTGAAGCTTGGCTATTCGAAGCAATTTGTTCAAGGTTACACAACTGGAAAGCGTCAGCGTCAACACTGGATAACACAAAAACAACGCGGATGGCGTTTTCTTCCAGTTGGTACTGTGCACACTCACTCATTCGCCCATTTTCTTTTCAGGGGCTCTGTGAGGTAATCGCCACCCTGACGTCCCTTTTCCAGAGCAAGGCAGAGACGCCCATAAAGCTAAGGGCCTGCCTGAGCTCACACCAGGGGGAAGACCCTGCGGACAGCAAGGTCTCAGCGCCTGCCCAGCGCGCGGTGCCGCTGGCCTGAGGCCCGCAGGCCGCCCTCCCGGCACCCACGCTCGCCCGAATCCCCGTGCCCGACGCGCCGGTAGCTGTGAGTGGACAATGGTCGCCCCTTACGGGAACTGCACGGCCGAGAGTTCCCAGCTTCCAGGACCGAGAATTCCGCCGCCTGGCCCGGGACTACCGTGGGGTGGATCAAGGGCGGAGCCCACAAAAAAGCGGCAGGTCTCAGACTTCCCGAGTCTGGGACACTAGTTACCGGTGCCTCTCTCGGTCGCCTCCGGCAAAACCACACTTCCCAGCAGTCCCTGCGGCCGCGCGGCCTCCGCGCCGCTAGCGCGGTGGCCTCGGTTTCTAAGGGACCACGCAGCCTGCAGCCCTAGCTGCTGAGTGGCACCCACAGACACTCCGGCGGGAGAGGAGAAGACAACAATCGTAGCCTCTGGTGAACTCTGCTACCCTCTACCGTTGTAAAGACCATAGCATCCGAACCACAAAACTACACTTCCCAGAAAATTACGCGGCGAGAGGTCTTCGGTCATTCGTCTGCTCGCACAGAGGTTCTCCCGTCCAGTAACGGGCAGTCTTTGCCGGTGCCGAGCAAGAACTGGCCTTACTCAGCAGGAGGGCTCCCCTCGTCCAAAACCTTGTTGCCACGCTGCCCAGCTGGGATGGGCCATGAGAATTTGGTGTCCACTTGCCCTGGACTGTATGTTTTCCAAAATTCCCTGTGTCCGGGCTGTCACAGCAGTAGTCGTCTGCGGACTAACAACACTTCCCGGAAATTCACGGAGTCACGTTTTCGCTAGGACGTTGATTGCGCTCTGCTGTGCGTGTCACGTCCTGGAAGGACTCAGAAATAATCGGACTCAATCGAGCGAGCGCAGAGATCCTCACTCCTGGAAGAATCGCTCCTTCTCTAACTCGCCTTTGTCCTCAGAATCACTTGTTAGTCCTTAACTTTGCTCAGTCCACTATAAACAGTAGTTGTACATAAAGTATATAGGGCAGAGTAATCTACTGTTGGTGTCTATTTGGGTTGTTTCCTTTACCTTCTTTTTTAAAAATGTAATGCAACTTAACATTTTATGTTAATAATTAAATAACGTTATTTAAATTATAAATAGTATGACTGAATTTTCTTGTATATGTCAAACATTTATATGCATAAGATTTATTAGACAATGCTTCCACGTTTGTGTCTTGTGACTGGTATTTAAATGGCTATAGTAGTAGTTTTTATTTATTTGTTTATTTTAATAGTTTTTTTATGAAGAAAGAGGGGAGAAAGGAGAGGAGGTGGAGGAGGAGGACAGACATGATGGTAGACAAAATACAAAATAGTAGCAGCATTGTTATACAGGACTTGTGTCTTAAATATGGTTTTCTTTAGCACCAAATCTTGCACATTGTGGCACTACTTATAGGGGAAAAAAATTTAGGAACTTAAGCAGAAAATACTTATAATGTCTTTCAAAAATCTTGTGAGTAATCTCCAAGATACGTAAACATATGCTTGAAGATCTAACTCCATCTTTATAATGCTTTTCCCTGCATTTTTTACTATATTCTCTGATTATGTCTTCATATGACAATAATTTTCTAACATAACTTTTTATGTGAAAAAATGAAAAGATAATTTATTTTTTTCCCTCCAGGAAAGCTGGCCAAAATTTGAGTGCTTATTATTGATAGTTTTGAGAATTTCATGTTGTCTTCACAACTCATGGTTGATAATTTTGTGTGAATTTTTAGGATTCTTGTCAAATTTAAGAAAATCTTTGTTAAGGTTATTTGTTACATGATCTGTAATATTTCAGAGCATTTCAAGTATTCTTGTGCAATGACTAATTGTGAATACTCTGAATCAACAAGTTATTTTCCATCCTATGAAACCTCACTAGAAGTTAACCAGGTTCATCAACCTTGGTTCTTGAGTTCGGCTGGGACAGAAATCAGACCCAGTAACTCAAATTATAAGAGAATGTTTATTCAGAATGTCAAAGTCACAGAGGTAGGAAACGTGAGCCAACTGGGTTGCGTGGACTCCGGAAACAAGTTACAGAAGCACAAAGGACCCTTTGTGCTTAGGAGAGAGACAGCAAGGATATATGTGCCTGGAGAAAAGAGAAGAGGAAGGTTGAGGGCTGTTCTCTCTCCCTTCCTCTCTCTCTCTTTAAGAGCAGTAGTTTTGTTTTGTTTTGTGTCCTCACCTGAGGACACATTCACTGATGGGAGAGAGAAAGATAGAGAAGAGAGAGAAAGAGAGAATATCAATGTAAGAAATACGTACTGGCGACTGAATCCACAACCCAGGTACACCTGATTGGGGATGGAACCTGCAACCTTCTGGAGCACAGGATGATGCTCCAACCAACTGAGCCACTGGCCAGGGTAGCAGTAGTTTTTAAAAAACATCGTGGCATCAGTTCAATTCCTCCCTAGGCTTAGAGTGCATTACAAGATTTCTCAGCGCAGAGTGTATTCTCATCTACTCCTTATTAAACAAATACATTGTTTCCAAAGTTGGACTAATTTGCAATTCTACCTTAGTTTATAGTTATTTTGATTGCCAGCTATTTTTTAAATTTTTTAAAATTTTTATTTTTTGTTCAAATACATTTGTCTCCACCTTCCCGTCACCACTTTCCCCTGCCCCCCTCCCCTACCTCCCTCCCTCAATCCTTCCCCACTTTGAGCATATTGGCTTTGAGCACTTTGGCTTTGTCCATGGGTCCTTATACATGTTCCTGACTTGACCCTTCCCTTCCTTTTCCCTGCCCCTCCCTTCCCTCTTGACTCTGTTGGTTTCTCTTTTCTTTCAATGTTGCCGGTTATATTTTCCTTGCTTGTTTGTTTTGTTGGTTAGGTTCTCCTTATAGCTGAGATCATATGGCATTTGTCTTTCACTGCCTGGCTTATTTCACTTAGCATAATGCTCTCTAGTTCCATCCATGCTGTCGCAAAGAGTAGTAATTCTTTCTTTCTGCTACGTAGTATTCCATTGTGTAAATGTACCATAGTTTTTTGATCCACTCATCTACTGATGGGCATTTAGGTTGCTTCCAGCACTTGGCTATTGTAAATTGTGCTGCTGTGAACATTAGGGTGCATAGGTTCTTTTGAATTGTGATCGCCAGATATTAATGCCAGCACTTGAATTTGTGAAATTTCCAGATGTTGCCAATCTGTTAAGTGTGAAATTGTAGCTCATTTGCCTTACATTTGTATTTATTTTATCGTTAAGATTGAGATCTTTTCATGAGTCTATTGGCTTTAGTATATCCTTCTCTGAGAATTGCACATCTTTTGTTCAATGTTATTTTAGAACAATGGCCTTTATGATATTAAAATACAAGTTACATAGAAAAATGCACAATTTTAAAGAGGGGGTGTGGAGGCTAGGATATTTGAATTTTTTCCATTTAGAATCTTGGATTTAGAACTGGATTCAGAAACTGTTACAGGTTTTTGTATGCTTCTGGTGTGAAATTCTTCAAGTTTTCTCTTACTTGGGATATGTTGATCACCTTGAATCTGTGAGTGCCATCTTTCTGTGCTTAGCAATTTTTCTTCTCTTCATGTATTGCTTCTTACCTATTCTTTCTTCTTGTGAATTCTAGTTAGTTATAAGGTAGGTCTTTTCACTTTATCCTCCATGTGTCTTAAACCCTCCTCTATAATTTCTTTTAGTCTTTGTATTGCATTCTAGATAATGTATTCTGATCTACCTGCCATTTATAATGCCTTTTCCTGGAGAAATGATATATATATATATATATACCTGGTAGACACAGCTGATTCATAATATTCATCTGATAATACTGATTACTGAAGAAGTAATGAATCTTTGTAAATTTACTTTTAAAATTCTTCACTCAGTTTGTTTTAAATTTTGGTTGATTATGTTTGTGTGTCAGTCTGTCCTTGAATGACATTTTATAGGGTTTCCCAATAACCTTGGTTGAAAGTTCCTTTATTTTCTACAGATTATATGATTTTATTTTCAGAAAAAGAACTGGGATTACTACCACTCTAGAACCACTTTAAACTAAAGTTAAGATATAAAGTCCCTGCTCAGTCAATCCAGAAAATCTTACATAAGTGTTCTTCATTATTCTGCTTTTCCTCATGAGATTCCTGGAAGAATTATGAAGTTTTCCCATTATGTGCCATCAGATATTTGGGATATGAATTAAATTAAAGCACTAGATGTGCCTGGGAGAAGAGGGGAGAACTTTAAATGGAGGGCTGGTCTTTTGCTTCAAGAGCTATGTCTGGCCAGTTCTTAAAGAACATTGCTTTGAAGCTGAATCCCTAACATTGAGTGTGCTCCATAGCTGCATTATTAACAAAAAGGATAGATGCACTCTGATGAGGAGAAACTAAGAAGGAGTAATCCAATGGCAGGTTAAATGGAGACTCATAGGCATAAGAAAGCCAATTTTAAACACATAACCCAGTCACTTGAGAAAAAAATACAGGGCCAAGAGAGATCAATAAGAAGAGAGGATAACACTCTACATGCCATATTGAACCCACTCCCTACCACTAGTCCTGAGCTTCCTTCTTTCCCTTTTCTATTAGGCAATATTTACAACAAGTGATCTTGTTATTGGAACTTATCTGGTCAAGGGTATGTGTTAGATATGAACTTGGGAAAAGAAAACCCAGTTTTTGTTTGGGGCTCATCCTCCATTTATCACTTTGAAATAAGCCTACATAGCCTGCTATGGGACAAAGTTCTAAATCTAAGAACTTAGTCCCAGTTCTCCTGTCAGAAGTTTGAAGTCCTGTCCGTTCCCAATCTGGCTCAAACCTGACCTCAGAATACCCATCGCAGAACCTGTGAGGATACCTCAACAAGAACTTCACATTCTCTCCTTCCATCCTTGAGGACCTCCGACATCTGGAATCTCTAATTATTTATGTGACCAAAATGAAGTAATACCAGGCTAAAGGGTGAACTCTGTAGGAAGTTGTCAGGTATGCAGATGTTCGGCCAGTAGCGTACAGCCATTTCTTGGTAGGTTGCTTGGTCTCTGAGGAAAGTAAGGGTATCAAGGGCCCTATTTGGGTCTATGATGGAGAAGAGGGTGCCCATCTCATTCTTTTTCTTCCTCTGATGATGGAGGAATTGAAATAAGCCTTGCTTTGTTTCCATAGGAAGAGACTTTATTTAAACCTTAAACCCGAGCATGATCTCATGGGTTAATAGATAGAGAGCTCAAGTTTTCCCTACTTGTTGATTTTGCATGATTTCTCTAAAAAATGGTTTAGGGGAG